CTCTGGGCCTGGGTGCTGTCCCTCAGCTCTTCAGCTCAAGGCTAGCGCTCTACCACTTGAGCCACAGCACCACTTTCAGCTTTTTTCTTTTTGCTTATGTGGTGCTGAGGAATCGAACCCAGAGCCTCATGCATGCAAGGCAAGCGCTCTACCACTGAGCCACCTTCCCAGCCCGTCCATGAGACTCTTATCTTCAATAAACCACCAGAAAAACAGAAGTGGTGCTGTGGCTCAAGCGGTAGAGTGCTCGCCTTGGGCTGAAGAGCTGAGGGGAAGGGCCCAGGCCCAGAATTCAATCCCCACAAATGACCAAAAAAAAAAAAAAAAGATGTGGCTTGCCTCATTTGTTGTACCATACATACCCAGAGAGCAAAGAAATCAATGTGAAGACAGTTCATGGACTATATTTGAATTGGAAGTCTAAGAGGACAAAAGGAAAACATTTGGTATTTAGACCAGTCTAGCAAGAAGACACAAATAATTACTTATCAATCTAGCCATGAGTTAACCATCAGAAGGTTTCCAGAACTCGGCAGATGTCCCAAAGGAGGCTGCTAGCTGACAGGAGGAGGTCAGTGAGATTTGACAAAGAGCTTTGTTTCTGTTTTTTGCAGTACTGGAGATCAAACTCAAGGCCTTACATAAAGTGCTAGGCAAGTGCTCTGTCACCAGCCTCAAGAGAATATATTGAAAGAGACAGGCCTGAGTGCCATTGCTTCATGCCTGTAATCCTAGCTACTCAGGAAGCTAAGACCTGAGGATCACGGTTCAAAGCCAGCCTGGGCAGGAGAGACTGTGAGACTTTCAAAATACCAGAGGGCTGGGAAGGTGGCACAGTGGTAGAGTGCTTGCGTTACATGCATGAGGCCCTGGGTTCAATCCCTCAGCACCACATAAGCAGAAAAGGCTGGAAGTGGCGCTGTGATTCAAATGGTAGAGCTCTAGCCTTGAACTAAAGAGTTGAGAGACAGTGCCCAGGCCCAAAGTTGAGGCCCCAGGACCGACCTAAAAAAAAAAATCAAAATATCAGAAAACCAGAAGTTGCACTTATGGCTCAAGTGGTAGAGCACTAGCCTTAAGCTGAAGAGCTGAGGGACAGCACCCTGGCCCAGAGTTCAAGCCCCACAGCCAACCAAAAAAAACAAAAAACAAAAAGAGAGAGAGAGACAGTGGCAGTGGAGAGGGCTGAAAAAAGAAAGGCAGGCTTTCCAGTCTGGAAGAACCACTGATGAGAGGCACCTCAAGGGGCCCTGACCCTGACCCATGTGAGACCGAGGCCTGTTTAAAATGACAGTTGTGATTTGTAGGCTGTACAAAGTGACTGTGGGTGATTTGTGTACAGTGAATGGAATGTGGATTTGACCAGCCCTGAGCCAAAATGTAATGAGAAACGAGGACAGCTCCATTACAAAGGAGGGTGAAAGGGCTGAGGGCAGAGTGGGAAATCCTGGTAGAGTCAGGGATTGCACTAAATTTTGTTACATTTCCCATTATGAATGCAGACAGCCTCTCCTTAGGCAATGAGCAGGGGATACTATGAGCAATATTAGTCAATACTTCTGTTGCAGCGATATTAAATGAACTTATGTCCCAGAGACAGCAAGTTCTCATACCCAGAAATTGGGTACATTCCTACTTGACGGTCAAGAGACTGGCTCCATCTGTTTAATACTTTTTCTCTTTTCTTCTCTTTTTCTTTTTCTGGTCCTGGGGCTGTGATAGAATACAAGGTTCTGGAGTCAGTCCCAAGCACTTCAGAAAAGTGAATCTTTCAAATGTTTGTCATCTTCCTATTTGCATGGCATATAATAAATCTTGGTTGAAAGAATAAGCAGTATTGGGGCTGGGAAGGTGGCTCTGTGGTAGAGTGCTTGTCTTGCATGCATGAGGCCCTGGATTTGATTCCTCAGTACCACATAAGCAGAAAAAGCCACAAGTAGTACTATAGATCAATTGGTGGAGTGCTAGCCTTGAGCTAAAGAGCTGAGGGACAACGCCCAGGCCCAGAGTTCAGGCCCCACAACCAACAAAAAGAAAAGAATAAGCAGTGTACTCATGTGTCTGGTTATGTAAATGGGAAAGGAGGAGAGTTGGAGAGGTCTTTGGAGGAAGGAGAGGGGCTGTGGTCAGGACTCAGGGAGGTTCCTGACGTGCACCAGATCTAGGCAATTAATCATCACAGCAAATTGGGGAGGGGGAATACTTTGCAAGAGAAGTTGCATTCGTGTGGTTCTTCCCATGGGTTAAGCTTTGCTAAGAACCTAATGTCTGCATTAGACTAGGGATTCAGTGCCTTTAGTCTGTAAGATGGGAATGCCACCTTCCAGTGTCTCAGAACACTGCTCAGAAGAGTGGAAGTCTAGAAATAGCCCAAGGACTAGTAGATGGTAGTTTAGCCACTTACTACTCTTTGACCACTCCCTTGACGCACCTTAATTTCCTCTAATCCTTGCTATTGGCCTTTGATGTAAGTGCTGTTATCAACCCATCTTAACAGTTGAAGAAACTGAGGCATAAAGAAGTGAAGTCACTTGCCCTGGGGCACATAGCTCTGAGTTCCGTGGAGAAAACCCTCCCCCAGCTGGTCTCAGATTCTAAACTCTGGGATTCACCAGGATGCTATCCTCATTTGCTAAAAAGACTACTACTAAAAAGACAACAACAATGTGTTGGGAATATTTATTTAAAACAGTAATTGAATAAAGCAAGAGATAAAATTAATGTTTCAAATTGATGATGAATATATGAGACTATATGCATTAAGATATGAAAGAGTGGGAATAGGGCTCCAGTGGCTCATACCTGTAATCCTAGAACTGGAAGATGAAGTTTGAAGCCCCACCCTGGCAGCAACGTCCATGAGACTGCATTACCAATTAAGTTGTAGAGTGTCAGTTGCAAGCAAAAAGGCCAAGCAAAAGCATGAGACCCTGAGTTCAAACTTTAGTATGAGCACTCCTCCTGGCCCCTGACTCCCTGCTGCTGCTGCCAAAAAAAGGGGGGGGCGAGGGTGAAAAGGGACAAAGGGACGGGGCATTTTTAAGAAGGGAGCCTGAACATGTGGTTTTTGCAGTCAGGCAGTTGATGAATGTTGAGCTACCAGGGTCTATGCCAGTGCTGAGAATATTCAAGAGGCTCCAAAACCCTTTAGAGTCCAAGTACTAATTGATATGCTCACTGGAAAACAAAATTACAGTATAGTGTAGTTGGGTAAATGCTGGTACTAAATGCTTTGGAAACAGAAAGCTGAGGTCAGGAGTGGCTTTATGATGAAGGCACTGTTGGAATTGGGCTTCTCCCTGGTGAAGAAGAGTTTTCCAGGGAGCAAAAACAGAATGAGTCTGGGGAGGTGGTAAATTAGTTTGGACATCCCTGGAAAGCCCTACATGGGACTTGTACTTTACTCAGGAGTCAGTCATCACTGACTCTTTAAAGATTTTATTTTTTTATTTTATTTATTTTTGGAACTCAGGACCTTATATTTTCTAGATGACTACAACTAAGCCATGCTTCCAACTCCTTAAAGGTTTTATGGTAGAGCCAGGTGCTAGTAATTGACTCTTGTAATCGTAGCTACTCAGGAGGCTGAGATAGGAGGATTGAGGTTAAAGCCCTATCCAGCAGACAGATCCTCAGTCTTCTCCAATTATCCAGCAAAAACCTGGAAGTGGAGATGTGGTAAAGTGCCAACCTTTAGCATGAGAGTGAGAGGCCCAGAGTTCCATGCCTTAGTACTGGCACAAAAGCCAGAAGAGCCAGGCGCCATTGGCTCACTCCTGTAATCCTAGCTACTTGGGAGGCTGAGATCTGAGGATCACAGTTCAAAGCCAACCTAGGCAGTAAAGTCTATGAGACTCATCTCCAGTAAACCACAGAAACCGGAAGTAGTACTGTGGCTCAAGTGGTAGAGCGCTCGCATTGAGCTGAAAAGCTGAGGGACAGCGCCCAGGCCCAGAGTTCAAGCCTTATGACCAATCCCCCCCCTCCAAAAAAAAAAAAAAAAAAACACCTAACAAGGTTTACTACATTGAGGTGCATTTAGGAGATGGAATCCTTCACTAAGAAAGAACTTGGAAACAACAGCTTTTCTCCCTGTCCTACACCATCCCAGGGCTTAGGGTTCACCAGTGTCTTTAGAGGACAGGGCATAGCTAATACACAATAGTTGGCTTGGGAGGGCTGGGTAGGAATTAGAGACTTTAGTTACCTAGAGGAGTAATGTACTTTGTCTCTAAAGGCCAAATGATCTTACACTTCTCAGAGAAGTTAGCAAGTGGAGTCAAGAACAGGTCTCTCAGTTGACTTTGAGAACCAAAAATCACAGTTGTTGGGGATGGGAATGTGGCTTAGTGGTAGCATGCTTGCTTTACATTCATGCCTTGCATGCATGCAGTCCTAAGTACCACATAAACAGAAAAGGCTAGAAGTGGAGCTCTGGCTCAAGTGGTAGAATGCTAGCCTTGAGCAAAAGAGCGTATGTGTTACTCTAACTCACTGAATCATCTCAGCAGTACTGTGAGGCCTACAACTATTACTGTTTCCATTTGCAGATGAGGAAGTTGAAGCTTAAGAAAGTTAGCTCAGCCGGGCCCTGGTGGCTCACGCCTGTAATCCTAGCTACTCAGGAGGCTGAGATCTGAGGATCGCGGTTCAAAGCCAGCCCTGGCAGGAGAGACCATGAGACTCCTATCTCCACTAAACCACTAGAAAACCAGAAGTGGCGCTGTAGCTCAAGTGGTAGAGCACTTGCCTTGAGCTGAAGAGCTGAGGGACAGCGCCCAGGCCCAGAGT